ATTTTGTGCGGCATTTTGTCAAACGCCTAGTTTGTCTACACTAGTCGCAAACGAGCACTTATAGATAAATGAAAGTAGTTTGGTGAAGCTAGCTACACATTTACTAAGGACCCATGGATGTAAACTATCGTAGCTGGTTGATCTTCTTTCATCAAGGTGGTAAAGGCACTTTTGTACTACATCGATAGAAAAACTTGCTGGGTCGACAACACAAATTGCTTCAGTACGACTTTCGAAAGCTGGAAATGGACGTTCGGGCTCCAAAACAAAAATCGAATGAAAATAGTTATTCAATAATGAGCATATATCGCCGGTATCGGTAGTGATGTTGCTATTAGCTGTTTCTAGCAATGTAATTGTGTTCCTAACGCTCTGTTTGCTTTGTACATGCGCATGTAAGCGTTTAGGGTTGTTTTCGCACTATAAACATATAACATATAAACAATATATATATATATATATATATATATATATATATATATATATATATATATATATATATATATATATATATATATATATATATATATATATATATATATATATATATATATATGTTATTTGTTTATATATATTGTTTATAAAATGTAAAAAAATCCACTTGTATAAAGTTTTTTTTAGGATCGTATATATACAGTAAAAATACGATCGTATTTATACAGTATATATATATAAATATATATATATATATATATATATATATATATATATATATATATATATATATATATATATATACAGTAAAATATATATAGATATGTATATATATACAGTAAAAATACGATCGTATATATACAGTAAAAATTTTTACTGTATATATACGATCCTAAAAAAAACTTTTTACAAGTGGATTTTTTTACATTTTATAAACAATATATATAAACAAATAACATTTAACAACATAAAGAATATATATAAAACTAAATATTTCAAAATAAAACAATATATTTAGGAACCACACACTTTTTTAAAAGGTATAAACTCAAAAGAACTCAAAGATATTTTCAATTGACAAGATAACTTTTTTCGACTTGATTTTAAAGGTGAGAAAACTACAACTTTAGGAAAACTTTGGGAAAACTACAACTTTGGGAAGAGCTCCGCGATATGTTAAAAGAGATCTTCCAAAACTTGTATGAGAATAATAATACATACAAAAAATCAAAACATAACAGCTTGAGCAAAAAAGACTTGTAATTATTAGAAAAGTTTACTTACATATACGATCGATCGTATTATTTATTACAAGTCTTTTTTGCTTAAGCTGTTATGTTTTGATTTTTTGTATGTATGTTATTACATTTTAAAAAATTGACAAGGTTGAAAAAGCACAAAACATAGAGTTCCTATTCTCCTTTTAGTCCGTAGGAGAGCGCGGCGCTAAACTAATTAAAATTGAAGTCTTCACTGCGTTCAGTTATTTTATAACTGGTACAGTTTTATAAACTTTTAGATTAGCGTTTAATACTATTCTTTAGTTTGTAATCATAATTAAAAGAATGAACTTTTTTTTATGACTATGTTTTAGTGATCCAAGATCTTCTTAGTTCCATTTGTATAGCGTTACGTACAAACGTCTGTAAGTGTAAGCGTCTTTAGCATATGTTGAGTTTGCAAGCATTATATGGAATAATAGCGTGTAACATCTCTATAAAATGAGAAAACTTTAAAATTTTATTTTAAATTTTATAAATCTTTTTGCTTTATTATTACTTTTTTGCTATAAACATATATAGGGGAAGAGGGGGCATAACCGCCCCCGTAACGTTTGGATTAATGTTAAATGAAAATAAAAACGAAATGTGTTTTTTTTTAGCAGTTTATTTCAATAACCACATCATTAAGCTTTAAATTGATGCATTTAAGAAAAGAGTTGAACGGGTTTTGAAAATGTTATTACACAAAAATTACACTTAGTGAAAAAAACGGTTTTGCCCCCAATGTGAGGCACAACCGCACCCTCAAAAAAATCGATGAGGCTACACCTTTCATGGTACATTTTTTTTACAATTTTCACAGCTCAGATTATTTGATGATTTTGTTGCATGTTTGCATACTGTGCAGGCATTCTTAGTATTTACATTTTGAGTTCTGCCCCAGAAGAGAGTTCTGCCTCAGAAGAGAGTTTTTAGAAAATTCAGTTTCATAGTTTAATTATTAGATTATGGTATTATCAAAAATGGCTTTCACTTCATGAAATAATGCTGATAACATATATCTTTAACACTAAAATCAAATATTGCTTAATTCTCAAAAAAAAAGTCAGAAAAAATATGATATAAATATAATATTTTTATGAAAATGAACATTATTATTCACAACTTCTCAGAAACTTAACAGTCACTCTTTTTGACATATGCAAAATGAAGGAAAATGCTTTACTAACGTGTAGTATGTTTTTTTCCATATTAGAAAACATTTTTTGAAGAGAAATGTTAAAAAACGGTTGTGCCTCCATATGCGGTTATGCCCCTACTTCCCCTATATATATATATATATATATATATATATATATATATATATATATATATATATATATATATATATATATATATATATATATATATATATATATATATATATATATATATATATATATATATATATTATTATTATTATTATTATTATTATTATTATTATTATTATTTTATAAACATCAATAAATACGATTTTCTCTATCGAGAAAGTATCGAGAGAAAATCGTATTTATTGATGTTTATAAAATAATAATTTACATACTCTCATACATGATGTCTACATTCAAATATATATATATATATATATATATATATATATATATATATATATATATATATATATATATATATACATATATATATATATATATATATATATATATATATATATATATATATATATATATATATATATATATATATATATATATATATATGCAAGATTAAAAAAATTTCAAAATTTATTACGCAAAGAGGAGGTCTTAAACCCCCCAAAACAACATTGACGACAGCGCACTTAACCACTGATATTAATGAAAGCATTTAGCAGAAAAACAAACCTAATTATGTCTCTTATAAGCTCTACGTATGCGGAAAAAGTGCGCATATTATTATTTTTGCTCTAAAAGTTTTTTTCAGAACAAAGTTATTTTACTAAAAAGTATTGAAGTAAATAAGGAATAGGTATAGAAATAGTCGATGTGGAATAGGATGTATAGAAATAGTAAGGTTGGTAGAGATCCGTATTTTACGGATACGGAAAGCTAGGATATATAAGGAAAAAGTATAAAAAAGTTCGGTTTAGAATAGACCTACAAAGACCCGTATTTTTACGGGTCCGATCTCAGCTAGTATTTTTAATTTCTCTGTATTTAAATAAAATGCTGGTTTGTTTATTCTATTTATAGCGTTTAATATTAATACAACAATAATACAATCCAAACAAGAAAAAACCACAAACTTAAAAGTATGTGTGATTGTCGAGGCAACACTCGTGCTTTCATTTTTACGTTTTTTCAAAACATAGTTTTTTATAAATACATCTTGAAAATATGCTCAAATTTACACAAAAATGCCAAAATCAGCATATTTAAAATAATATATATTCAGCTTTTTTTAGGATTGTTTAATTGTGTACAATATATTTTCACTATTATTTAAAAAAATCTGTTTCAAAAACTTCAGAATTATGTTTGTTTATAGGATTGATTTTAAATTGATCAAATACTTAAATGTATATATCATTAAAAAACTCTCAAATACAGTATTTTAAAGGGGAAAAAATTATGAAAATCGGACAATTCTATAAAAAGTTTTAACGTTTTTAGTAGCAAATTTTCGATATATGGATTTCTTGATAAAACTGTGGTCAAAAAAATATTTTTTTTTACATAAATTGTTATAACTTTGCCAATTCTTGTTCAAATATCTATAACTTGGATCTAAAGATAGATAAAAATGGACTATTATCTTAAACTAGTTTCTAGGTAAAGGGCGCATCGAGGGATCCGGAGGGAGTGCCAGCAATAATTTTCTAATGATGCTCTTTCTCTTCTAGACAAGGTCCAAAAAGGCTATGAAAACGTAGTTGGACCCGCTCTATCTGCTAACCTTGAGCCTCTTTCCCATCTTAGTAAAGTGGTATCTCTTTCTCTTTTCTACAATACTGTCATGGTCGCTGCTCAAAGGAGCTATCGTCTCTAGTTCCATCAACTAAAACTCATTCTCGCTTGACTCGTCATTCAGCAAAGTCTCATTCTTTTACTGTATCTGTCCATGTATGCTCTAAAAACTAAAATCTAGTTTTTTTCCCCGCACTTTAACCCTCTGGAACTCTCCCATTATTATGTTTTCCTGACTAATACAACCTGCAACTCTTCAAGTCTTTTCTGTCAACGTCCTTGCTCTGTAACTCTTTTTTTCTCTTTCTTTTTAGTAGCTTCTGACCTAGTAGAGGTTGCTTGCAGTCTCGTGGGCCTTGCACCTTGCACCCTGCTTGCAGGTGGGAGAGAATCAGAATAAAATAAAATAAAAAAATTGTCGTTAATCAAAAAATATTAACTTTTATTTTTGGTTCAGAATTGTAGGTGGCACAAAGTTTTAATGTGTAATAATATGTTTTTTTGCAGTCGATTATAAAAGATTAATTATAGAATATAATATATTACATATATAAATATATACATAGATATTTATAAACGAGTTAATATACAAATATTTAATTTTTAAAACTAATAGATTTAGAAACTTGAGAAAATCAAATATCTCAAATTCAACGCAACAAAGTTTTCTCATATTAAAGATTTATCATATATAAAAATATTTAACTCAAAAAAGATTCAATACATTTAAAAGACTAAATATAATACAAATTTTAAGGCTTTATTAGATATTTGGTATATATATATATATATATATATATATATATATATATATATATATATATATATATATATATATATATATATATATATATATATATATACATATAATAAATAACAAAGTTTAAAAAAACATAAATAATTATTTTAAAAAGCTTCTTTGGAAAACTACTATTTTGGTAAACATAAATATCACTCATAACTAATAACAGGACTATATATACATCTATGGACATGACGGGTTACAAGGATAAGGACAATCAACAAAGTTATGTTTGCTTCGATTTCCCCGTTCGTAAAACCAATCTCCAAAGGCTTGCTGAATCGATTTGCCTTCGACCGACACTCCTGTCCATGTTTCATCAAATAAAGATAAAGAATGATCAATACATGATACTAAAAAACGACCTGATTTCGGGAGATGCATAAAATATTCTGTAGATCGTATCATAGCACCACGATACTTCATTGCATCTAAAAGTTGTCTTTCGGTGCATTCAGGGGGATCTGAGCGAAGTATGTTTATATACTCTTTTGCAATACTTGTTGAGCGACGGCTTTTTAGACGATCATGTTTTAAGACTTTGTTATGTCTTTTTGATCCAATAGTATTCAACTGCTCTTCGACCGACCAATCCAACTGATCTTGATTGTTTACAAATTGAGAAATATTGGTAGCGTATTTATTGGTTTTTGGTATTGTAGATTTTATTGTAATAAAATGAAGCTTATTTGGAGTTTGGTTTCGAACTTCCACGTTAGCATGGCTCGGTGTTTTTGTTGTTAGAACTTTTTTATTAATTTCCGCATTTTTTATTAATGAAAAAGACATATTTAGTGTGTTTTCACTTTTTCTTTCCAACGCTGGATGTTTTGATAAAGGTTTTTTAAACAAATTTAAAAATGTTTTATTATTGCTAATTTGCTTAATGTCGATGTGATGCATTTTTTGTAAGTCTTTAGAATTATTATTTTTAGGTTTAAATTTCAGATTCGCAAGTTCCATGTTTACAATTGTGCTTTTAATAGAATTTTGCAACTTTTTATTTAAATCTTTTGTTTTATTTTTATTTTCAAAAACTTTATAATTAGGCTTAGGACTGGTGTGATTATCGTCAGGAAAGTAATTAGGCTTAGGACTGGTTTGATTATCGTCAGGAAAGTAATTAGGCTTAGGACTGGTGTGATTATCGTCAGGAAAAGTAGAGGCAATTTCATCTTTTTTTGAGGTTTTGTCTCTAAAAAAGGGAAGTAATTCAAATCCAGAAACGTCCCTCTTTTTTCTTTTATTCAATTCTGAGGATAATGATCTCTTCAGCAAAGTATAATCAGACTCTTTAAAGTCATTGTTTATATTTTTTGGTGCCGTTGAATCCAGCTCTGAGTCATTTTTTATTAAAACACTTCTTTTTCTCCTTGACTGTTGTTCCGACGATGGAAATTTACAATCTATATCAAGAAAATATATCATAGCCCAAATGTCATAAGCAGAGTTTAATACAAATATTGGTGTTTTTACGTATTTAACTATTTTTGCTGGGAGAAAGCACTGCCAAGCATTATCTTGACCTAAATCATGAACACAATCTTGATCAAGGCCAGAGGAAGAGTTCTGCATTTCGTATATTCGTTTAAACATTGAGCCTAGGTTTCTTCCACCCATCGGAGCAGTATCAATAAAAAACCCAGCATCGGATAATACTCTGACAGGAATAGTTGTAGGAAATTTTGAGGCAATATAATCTGCTTGAAAAATTGCGGTCATACTTCCCGCTGAAGAACCAGTCAGTATTACAGCTTCAGCGAATTTAAAATCTCTATTAAAAAGCAAGTCGTTAACAATTGCATTAAGAACTCGCTTTCCTCGCATATAAATTGTTTCACCTGAGTCTGATATTAATGGTCTTTCTCGATTACCAGTGAATGATGCTCCATCACAATATACAACCCATACAAGATTCCAGTCGTAAAAATCCGGATTAACTACTGGATCTGGGGAGTTTATTCCTTGTATAATAGGAGGCGAAGATGGAAGCTTTTTTGTTGAACCAAGTGAACTATGACTTCTTTCAAAACAAGCTTTTGCATCAAAACACCATGCACCACCATTAAAATGAATAATCCATAAGTTTTCGCTAGTTCCCGAACCAGGTCGGTGATAATACGCTGGCGGTGAACCATCTAAACATAACGCACCAGCTTTAACAGCGTTTGTTATCCGATACAACTTCATTGGTGGAGTTTCACTAGTATCGATAGAATGTCTCAATTCTCCATTTTTGTCGACAGTTTTGGCGATTTTATCATCAATAGACTTAATAAGCCCTTCGTTTGTTTGAGGTTTCGTAGGCTTATTCACTTTTGATAATTCATCGCCAAGCATTTTTAATTCTCCGAGTTCCTTTAAAGCTTGTTCTACATTAGTGTCACTTTTTTTTCCTAGAACACTGTTCATTTGTTTAGGTAGTTCGCTGTACTTATTGTAGTTACTTTTACTGTATACTTTTGAACTTGGTTGAGAACTGCTAAGACGATCAAAGTTTTTATTTAATAACAAAATCTGTTTAACGTTATTTTGTTGTAAATTTAATGGAGTGTCAAGCTTTGCTTTCAATAGAATAGGTTTGTCGGGATCAAAGTCAAAAGGTCTTCCATCCTCTAAGTCTGTACTATCGTAATCGTTTTCTTCGTCAGAATAAAGCTTAACTTCGTTTGGTTTTTTGTTTGTAGACAATTGACCTACATCATTCTTGCTAAAATGCGACCAGGCTAAAACGGAAACAGCTACTGTTAAAATTAATGATGCTAATACAAGTACCGAAATAAATATAATTGCGCCGCGTGTTTTTAGCCAATCAACTATCTCTTTTCTGTAAGAACTAAAAAACAAACGTTGATTTAACCCTGCATCAGGTTCAGCAATAAATGTTCTTTGTAATTTAGCTAAATATTTTCCATCCATTTCTAATTTTTCTCATGTTCTACGCCTAAAAACCCTCATTCAAGCAATAGGCCTATTTTTCGGCAATCATGTGTCATTCAAATTGTTTCGTATTTTGAAGTCAAAAAAAGCCATTAATAAAATTCATTAATTCATATAAACTTTCTGACATTTTACATAAATTATAAACATCCAAACAGTCTAAACTATTTCAATTAATCCAGGTTTAGTTAGCATTATTTGAACAGCGCTGTGCCTCATGTGAGTAACATTTTAATTTACTCACGCTAATGCTAAAAAAATGAAGCAACTCGGTTATTCGTCTGCTTAGTAATATTTCTTTGAGAAAATAACGAAGAATACGCGAGAGGTTGTACAAAACTATACCTAACGTGAGTCCGAAGTTGATATCTAAATAAAATCTAGCATCTAATATGAAGTATTAATTTCTATGCATTGCAGTATTTTGAAAACTACAAATGAAATTTTTCTTTTACAATTTATCACTTTAACGTTGCCCATTTTTATATTGGAAATCTACGGTGTTTTACCAATGAGCATTAATGATTATAAACCCCTTTTTTTTTTGGTAACCTAAAAGCTTTTCTTAGTTATTTTACACCAAAAAGTTGTTTTTATATTCCTTAAAACCGGTTCTAATATAAAAGGTTGGTGTTGTTTTTTTATGAAATTGTTTATGCATTTTTGAAATCTAAACTTTTTATCTGTTATATGTGATTTATATTTGAAATATTCGATTATATATATTTAACTTCCACGCAAAAAAAAAATATTTCCTTAAACTCAAATTTTAGTTGAATTTCATCATTACATACGTAACAAAAAAAATTAAAATTTCTGGCAACGAAAAGTTAATGGAATGAATCATGAATCAATTAGTAACAGCTATATGACTACATAAAAAATCTCAAAATGAATAAAAATAATTAAACGTAGACAGCAACAAATTCAAAGTGATGAATATTCAAAAGATCTAAACGACGTTAAAACAATTCTAAACTTCCAAGAAACAAGCCTATTGGAAAAATATTACAAATTAGAAAGGGCTATAGTAATGAGTTAAACATTATAAATAAAAAATAAACGATCGATTTAGAATACAGATTTCGACAAATAATCTGAAGTTAAAGAAAAAACCTAGGGAAATCTGGAGTGAGCGAGACATGAAGTGAAGTTGAAAAAAACCTTGTGAAATCTGGAGTGAGCAAGACATGGAGTGACTGCAGAAATACAATAAAAAGTATTTTTAAAATACAACTTAAAAATGAAAGCGAAATGATTGTGGAAAGAGCTCAACCATTCGATCATGCAGAAAAAAAAAAGTATTGTAAACTGGCTAGATCAATATAGCTCTGAAGCTCTTAAACTTAAACTTCTTAGTGTTAGGACAAGAACATAATTTTAAACACAGTGAAAAACCTGCGAGGAATTAGTCTGTTTACTAATGAAAGAAAATCGAGAATTACAAAAAGTTATGAGAGGAGAAGTTAAAAGGCTAGGGCGGAAGGCAAGTATGCTATTACTTAATACGATTTTTATTATGATTATAAATTTTCTGTAATGAGTTTATAAACCCCCTATCTATAACAATAAATTTTAAAAAGACTTTATTATAAAAAAAAAAGTTTACTCCCTCCCGCCCTTCCTTCTTCAAAAAAAAAAAGAGCGGTTTTGAATCCATAAATTTTACCTTTCCTGAAATAAATGGTGAGGAAAATATAGATCCCCGTAAAAAAATTTTCCACGACATGTTTATGGATTGCTTATATCAGTATTAAAGCAAATAAAAGACTTTCTATTTAAAAATGTTTGCGACAAAAAATCAAATAAAAATTAATCTTTGAGTAAGTATTTGAACAATTTTGAAAAATTTCTCAACTAGTTAGAGGAAATAAAAATTGTTTTAATATTGTTTGTTTGACTGAAACGTAAACTTCGAATGATATTCTTCATTTTAAATTTGCTTAAAAGGCAAGTAAATAACGCGGCTGAGGAGTTCTTACATAAGTGAATAAAGACATTTATTACGTTGGGAATGATTTCAATGCATCTGAAGGTAGTAAAATACTTCTGAAGGCGGTAAATTTTATCAATTGAAATCATGTACTATCAATCGAAAAACATATTATTAAGCTGTTGTTATCGACCACCTGACACCGTGAGCGAGAACTTGAGCATTTTTTTTTTAAAAACAAAGTATTCTTTTAAACGCTATTAAAAAAAAAAGTAAGGAAACAAATAGAACTTCATCATTGGGGACCTTTGGGAATTGTTTTCTATAAAACAATAAAAACTTAATGTCTCTTTTTTTGAAACAGGAGCAATTACCTTGATAAATTGTCAAAATGAAATAACAAAAAAATTCCACGTTTTAGATTGTTAGTATCATTACATCTATCAAAAATAAAAGTGTTTATTTAGTTTTAACCGTGATTTTAACCTTAACGTCATCTATCAGAATGGTTGCGTTTCAATAATTCATACAAGAATACTAATAAAATACCCACAAGAGAATATATTCTCTTATGAATAACAAGAATAATAAGAGAAATCACAACAGCCATTGGTTAAATAGTCACTAACGAATTCCCCATAAAAGCAAAAATGGGAATTTTTAAATGCGACATTTCCAGCTTCATATTTTTTATCTCACAAAAATGTGTTAATATCTATCCACAAAAAATTAAAATAGTTATGTGACAAATCGAAGAAAAATCCAAAATCAACGAAAGTTTTGTCAAAATTTTTTTTAAGTATAAACTGAGATGACTTAAACTGTAAACGCAAATAAAATAACTTTTGAGAAGGTTATTACAATGTCAAAGAAATATTATTCTGAACTGTAAAAATAAAAATGACCACGTCATATTTAACTTCTAATAAGACCTCTGTGATGGACAGAATAAGATTAATGAAACTGAATTCTTAGATGTAGTATTCTTTAAAACAAATGAAAGTGTGGGGTCTTCTAATATTAGGAGTAATATAATTAAAAAATCAGTAAAATTCTTTATCTCTCATACGTTTGACACAGCTTTATCTCTCATATTTTTGACATAGCTTTATCTCTTATATGTTTGACACATCTTTAAAACAAAGAGTTTATAGAAAGAAACTTAAAACTGGGTTATACCTGATATAAATCGGGCGATTTTCTGATCCTACAAATTTGTGATTAAAAATTCTATTTGAGATTAAAAAGAAACTATATTTTACAAAAGTTGCTGATACATATGGCACATCTAAATCTGCTCTACACCGCCCTATTGCTAATAAGTCACCTAATCAAGATATGAACAATGCATCATCATATTTTTGTTATAACTATAGATTTTTTTCTTTTTCTTAAATAAATTTTAAGAAATTTTTATAAAATATTGTTACTTATGATTAGTTTATTCTCAGCAAGCATTTGTTTTTTAAGTGCCCCTATATGTTCCACCCTACCTTACCTATTTAAAAAAGCTCGCAAAAACCTGAAAAAAGTTACTACACAAGACTACTAGATAGATTCAAAATTAACTCAAAACACACGTCACGTCACGCGTCACACATCAAATCTAATGTTAAACTAAGAACGCTCAAAGCGTTTGCTTTAAATGCTCAAATTTCATCCCCCAGATGATTATAGTTAATTTCATCCCTCAGATGATTATAGTTAATTTCATCCCCCAGATGATTATAGTTAATTTCATCCCCCAAATGATTATAGTTAATTTCATCCCCCAGATGGTTATAGTTAATAACAAACGTGTGAATCATAAGCTGTTGCTCACAAATTGGATATTTTATCGACATTGGTTCAAAATATTTATTTGACATCGGTCCAAAATATTTTTTGACATCGGTCCAAAATTAACAAATACAATTTCTTTTACCAATGCTACATTTAACGATCGTTTAGTACAGATTTATAATTGCATTGGTTCCAATGAATTATTTTCAAACTTTTGAAATTGTTTTCAAGAGTTTGAAAAACCTTTCAAATCTCTTAAATAAAAACATAACATTATTATTTTTTTAACATTATTATTTTTTCTTACGGTTTTATGGCGAGAAAAGAGGGGCGGCTAAATTGAGCAAGTTATCAGATTACTATTATTTTTTCATATCGATTATTATCAAAGCAATCATTTATATTATATTCTAAAAAAAAAATGGCTAAAAATTTTACACCATCCCAAGTAAAAGAATTATTGGATATGCACGAAAACACTTTACTTAAAATATTTAACGAACGCTTTCAAAAGCTAGAAAACGACTTTTCAATAATAAAGGAAGAAAATAAGTATTTAAAAAAAGAATTAGAGCAAATTAATTCCACTATTCAATTCCTAAGCGACAAATACGAAACAATGAAAGAAACATTAAACAATAATAAAAATAAAATATCCCCTCAAGATAATTTTAAACAAAAAGCAACAAATCTTGAAAACGAGTATCTTAAAGACAAGATGGCAGAGTTAGAGGACAGAAGTCGTCGTAACAACCTTCGGTTTGAAAGAATCGAGGAAACTGAAGGAGAAACGTGGAAAAACAGTGAGGAGAAAGTGAAAAAGCTAATAAAAGAATGAACAGACGATGAAAAAGAGCTCTTAATTTTGGGTTTAAATTTTATTCCTTCAATTACAAATACGTCACTTAATATGCACATAACAGCTTTTGAAAGATTTAAAAGAACCCTTCTCCAACAACTCTATTTTGGGACCGAAGAAATAATGAGGCATCCATTCCATAAAAAATCAAATTGGTCTCCCCCTATGACAAAAAACAAAACTATTATAAATTATCTTAACTTGGTAGAATGTGATATAACCGCACTTATTTTCTCACAACTACCGAAAGATAAAAAAAATTTAACTCCTAAACTTATTCACGCACTAAACTCCCTTATGTTTAATCCCACAATTATTATAAAAAAGGCCGACAAAGGAGGGGGTATTTGTATTTTAGATAAAACTGACTATGAAGAAAAGATCTCTCTACTTTTATCAGATAAAAATACATATAAACTACTCTCAGAAGACCCAACAAAAAGTATAGCGAGAGATGTTAACAATCTTATTGACTATATGTTTCTTCATCATATGATTGATAAAAAAACATCAGAGTTTCTACGACCAAAAACACCCCATCGTACACCCCTGTTTTATGGCCTTCCCAAGATTCATAAGATAGGCACTCCCTTAAGACCAATTGTTTCTGGTTGCGACGGACCAATCGATAACTTATCGTTCTTTATCACAGAATTTATTCAGCCAGTTGCTGAGCAATTACCAGCATACTTTAAAGACACAACGCATTTTCTTACACTTCTTCAATCTCATGTACTAGAAACCAACAATTACATTCTTGTCACGGCTGATGTTATATCTCTGTATACAAACATTCCTCATCGCGAGGGTATTGACGCTGTAAAATTTTATTTAAAGAGAGCACCGCCATTTAACGGACCCATTAAACGCCCACCTATTGCTTTTATTGACATTATATTAGAAACAATCCTAACCCACAGCAACTTTCAATTTTCGACTGATCATTTTTTACAATTAACAGGTACTACCATGGGGACACGTATGGCTCCACCCTATGCTAATCTATTTATGGGAAGAATTGATGAGAAAATAATTGACCAATTTTCAATGTGGATTTCTTTTTATAAACGTTTTATAGATGATATATTTTTTATTTTTCATGGGCCTCCGGAGATACTAACACAAGTTTTCGAATTTATGAATGCCATCCACCCAACGATCAAATTTACTTTCAATAATTCTACCACTTCTATTCATTTCATGGATTTAACAATTAACAAAAAGCTAGATGGACAGTTAGAAACAACAATATACAAAAAGGCAACTGATACAACAGCACTATTGCATTATAATTCATTCCATCCCCCTCATCAAAAAAGCAATTTAATATATAGCCAAGCGTTAAGATACAATAAGAATATATCCAACAATTACAACCTAATAAAAGAGTTAAAACAATTAGCACAAATTTTAGTTATACGAGGCTACCCTATTCAATCTATTAACAAAGGTTTTAAACAAGCACTGCGACATACACAACACGAACTTATCAACAACAAATATAAAGAAGAAAGAGAGAAAGAGAAAATTTTACCGATGGTTACAACATTTGGAAAAGTTGGAAAACTCATAAATAAAATAGTTAAAAAGCACTGGAATATTGTTGAACAGGATACTGATCTTAAAAATATATGGCCAACTCCACCTATTGCGAGTTTCAAAAACATCAAATCGATCAAGAAATTTCTAATCCAGACGGCGCATAAAAAAACATAAATAAAAAATCTATTTTTTCTTTACTAAGTTTAATTTCCTAATTGTTACTATTTACATACTATTATTGGTTTACCTTATAGTTTTATTTATAATTTACTAGTTTTTTAATAAAATTTTATCAGGCGTTTGTTATGGTCTCAAAATTACATTAAAATCGGACCGTAGAGAAACCTTTACTTATCGGATATTTTGGTCTCAAAGTTACTTGTAATTCGGACCGTAGAGGAAACTTTACTTTTCGATTATTTCGATTTAGAAATGGTCTCAAAGGTACTTGTAATTCGGACCGTAGAGAAAACTTCACTTTTTTGCA